TTCAGTTCGTTGGCCATGTAGCATTTCTATTCATTTGTTTCCCAGGTTTGTCACTGCTGATGTCCGCCCTTTTCCGCTGGCGATGCAGCATTTCTATTCATTCCCAAACAGTTTACTGTTCGGTGTTGTCAATTCTTTCTTAAGATGTGTCCGCCCTTTCCGTCGCTGCTCGCGCCCGCCCTTTTCTGCTGGCTATGCAGCGTTTCAATTCATTTGTCTTGCGTGTGATATGTTTTCTTTTGTTTCCCAGGTTCGGCGCTTCCCCAAACATTTGTACTTCCCCAAACAGGTTACTGTTAGGGGTTCTCAAGGCTTTCTGAGAGTGTCCGCCTTGCTGCGGGACAGCGTGTCCGCCTTCTGTCCGGCTTGTCTCCATTCTTGTCTCCCTTCTTGTTGGTCACTGTGTCCGCCTTGTCTCCCTTCTGTCTCCCTTCATGATTTTGGTCTTGGCTGTAGCTGACAGCTTGTCTCCCAAGCTTGTCTCCCTTCATGATTTCGCTCTTGGCTGCCGCTGCCGTCTTGTTTCTCAAGCTTGTCTCCCTTCATGACTTCGCTCTTGGCTGCCGCTGCCACCTGGTCTCCCAAACTTTTTCTTTCATGATTTCGCTCTTGGCTGCTCCCTTCTTGATTTCGCTTTTGGCTGCCGCTGCCGCCTTGTCTCTCAAGCTTGTCTCCCTTCATGATTTCGCTCTTGGCTGTCGCTGCCGCCGTGTTTCCCAAGCTTGTCTCTGTTCCTGATTTCGCTCTTGGCTGCCGCTGCCGCCTTGTCATTTTCTTGCCTGCCTTTGACGCGGATGCTGTTATAAGATGATTTAGGTCTTGTTTACCCTTTCCATCCTTTCCCCGGCTTTGAGTGGGATGTCTCCCAAGCTTGTCTCCCGCTCTTGCCATGGTGTCCAACTTTTCCTGAAGTGCTATCTGGGGTCTATGCCGGTATAATGTTTCCCTTCTTGTCTCCGTTCTTGTTTGTCATTGTGTCCGTCTTGTTTCCCTTCTGTTTCGTTTTGTCTCCCTTCTTGTCTCCGTTCTTGTTTGTCATGGTGTCCGTCTTGTCTCCCTTCTGTTTCCTTTTTACTCCCTTCTTGTCTCCCTTCTTGTTGGCCATTGTGTCCGTCTTGTCTCTCTTCTGTTTCCTTGTGTCTCCCTTCTTGTTGATGTTCAATAAGTGAACTTGGGAATGCTTCGTTGTTGTCCCACCTGTTTGGGGTCTACGGTGGGTGGTGTAATTTTGTTGTCCTATTTATGTCAATCTGTGTTATTACTATTTCGTTCAACCTTCAAGCATGTGAGCCTAAGTCTCACCTAAAGGCATATGTTCTTTGCTCTTACAATGAAAGCGTTTGAGCCCAACACTCCCTTTGTCTTTGTCGAAATCTCCATGTACAAGTCTGCGCATTAACTTCTGATTGGTATCAATGTGGTTGCCAATTGCATGTCCAATCAGCTTGACATGAAACTGTAATGACACCTTCCAATTTACATGAAACTGTTATGAATCTGTGCAAGCTGTAGTTCTAATTCAATGCTTGTCGCTTTTGCTTCGGCTTTGTAATTTCGAAGCCTCCTCGACTTGTGCATCTTGTAGCTCAAACGTTTTACATCTTATTCTGGCAAACGTTTAGTTTTAATTCCAATTCCTCTCTAATTCAACTCTCATCTAATTTTAAACAGGTTATAGTTATAGTTCAACACAAGTTTAGTTAAAATTCGGTTTTAATTCAGTTCTATCTTAGCTCTAACTCAAATCCAATCTAATTCTACCTAATTCTATTCTAGCTCTAGTCTATTTAGTTTAAG